GATCATGGGGGAGGTTTGTACAATGGGTTTAGGTCAGAGAAGTATTCTTTTCAAAAAAGTGCAAACTAAAGATGGCACATGGGTACCCGTTGGCGGGTACCTGGTACACGCAAACGGGTACTCACTGCCCTGGCGGGTACCCTCGTTGCGTGTACCAAGTACGGGTACGGGTATCTGGTTTTGGTGATTTTTTGCTAGGGTACCCGGGTACTTGCCGGGATACCCGCTCCACACCTGTAATATGTGTTGGACGGTCCAACATAAATATGTCACAAGTGTAACATAAATATGTCACAAGTGTATGATGATATACTTTGTGATACCTGTTCCACACCTGTAACATATAACATATGTTACAGGGTGTGGAACAGGTATCACAAAGTATATCATTGTATCCTCAATCTACCCCGATTGAACCATTCATCCCACCTCAACACCCCCACCATGCGCCGCCCACACCATCCACCCAAGAGATCTCGTTGAGAATCATCACCAAACACCGCTTTGACATCTGTATCTGATGGGGCTGCTGCTGCCGCTACCGATCCGATTGACGTGGACAAGGAGCAACTTGGAGAAAGTCAAGGCACTCCGTCTGCCAGTGGAGGGCCTGCTGGTGCCAATACCGATCAGGAGGAGCTTAGTATGTCTTGTCTCTCGTCTTGATAAATTTTTTGTTGGTCAATTGATTTCTAATATCCATTTCTTTTTTCCCCAATCTGAAAATACATAATCACAGGCCGAGCACAACGTATTGCCAGGACCGCTGTCAGTACCAGTTATGCATCATACAACGTACCTGAGCTATCCAATCAACTTGATAAGAATGGAAGAAGGATGATAGCCTATCCTTGCAAATTGTAGGTTCATTTTCATCTTTATTATCACTATTTTTGAATCATATTGGCAGTCTAAATTTATTTTTCATCCTTTTAGATGTGGAAAGAGGATCAACCGACCAACAAGCGACTCATCCTGCAGTAATCTCCTCAAACACGCTGCAAGTTGTGTTAAGAAGAAACATGATCAAGACCATACAAGGACCCTTGGATTGCTTGGAGTCACTGGAACTGGTGACATTGACCCACACAAGGTCAGTATTAATGTTAAGATTATTTATTAGGAGGTTGATGTGAAATTATTTGATGTTTTATGAGGAACAGGTAACACAGAAATGTGCAATCTGGTGTGCGGAGGCTGCACGCCCATTCTCTGCATTGGAAGACAACAGCCTCAAGAGCATCTTGCACCCAACTGTCCTCAAGAACTTACCCAATCAACGGATGGTCTCCAAAGCAATTCATGTCTTGTACACCGTGGTACAGGAAGCCTTCAAGTTGGAGTTGAAGGTGAGGAGGATTCTATTCATCTCGTCATTTTATTTGATTCTGTGATTAAATTTGATTTGTGATTTGGTCATCAGAGCCACACAGGAGCATTGTATCTTGGGTTGGACGCATGGCAATCGCCCAACGGGCTTGACATTCTTGGTATAGTAGTCTACTGGCTTAACGAGCGAGCCGGGCTTCAATCTATGCCACTCGATTTCATCAAGTTATCCCGCAGCCACACAGGCAAATACTTGGCTGAAACAGTACAGCTGGTCGTTGAAAAATTTGGTATTGCGAGCAAGGTAGATTATTATTCATTCTTTCTAATTGTACTCGTCTAACAACCTCTGTTTTTGGCCAGATTTATGGCATTGTGTCAGATAACGCGTCCAATAATGAAGTTATGGTAAATGAGCTGAAAAATCTGAAGTGGCCCCACTTCAAAGGACAACCTCAATGGATACGCTGCTTTGCCCATATACTCAATCTAATTGCAAAGGCTATCCTGCGACCGTTTGGACCACAAAAAAGAAACCAGAAAGAAACATCTGACTTGGCCGATCGATCTGAATCCGATTCCGAAACAGAATCATCTGATTGTGTTGTAAGGATTCAATCTTTCCTTTATCAAGATTTTTCTTTAGATATAAATGATCGTTTCTTTTCCTTTAGGTACACCAAGGGGAGTGAAGTTGTAATTAGTGATTCCGAAGACAATGATTTGGGAGACTCAGATGGGATTACAAAGGAGGCCAACAGCGAGGAATTGGATACTAATGACATTCAACAATTAAGTGACGAAGATGAAGATGTCGACAAATACACATCTTCAAGTTGCCGACAAACTCTTACAAAGGTGAGTCAAAAGAGTTAATTTTTTCATTTGACTCTTGTATAATAACCACTGATGGATGATTGAACGGCTAGTTTCGTGCCATTGCCCGTAAGCTGAAAAAATCACCAAACTCAAAAGCAACTTTTATCAAGTTATGCATAGAAAAAAAGTGTGACAAACCGCATACTATCGAACGAGATGTTTGTACAAGATGGAACTCGACTCTAATTCAACTAAATAGCATCATCAGGTGTCACTCCGCCATGTAAGTTCAGCTCATAGATTCATCGTTCTCCTTCCAACAAGACATGAAATGATTCTTTCTTTCTTAGTATTGAATGGCAGAAGGACAAAAAATATGGACTCGCTCGGAAATATCAAATTAATGAGAGGGACATCGAATTAGCTATCAACTTGGCTGCAATACTGCAGCCTTTGCTTGAAATAACGCTTCAAGTTTCACTTGAAGGATCACCTCGGTTATCGCATGTGGTGGTCTTCATCGATCAAATAACCGAACATCTCTCGACTATTATAGCTCAAGAATCTTACGCTCCTGTCTTGAGGAATGCGTGTCGTGGCGGTTTGCAGCTTACTAACAAATACTATACTCTAACCGACTGCTCACCCCTTTACAGAGTGGCTATGAGTAAGTTTCCTTCTGTTATCTGTATCAGTTTGGTATATCAAACTAACTCACATACATCTTGATGGCCAATGGCAAAGTACTCCACCCCTCATTCAAGGATGAGTACTTCAAGATTGCTGGCTGGGATCAAAAGTGGATCGATGATGCAATTTCTCACACACGCGAGATGTGGATCAATCACTATAAGCCAAAACCAATACCCACAGCTTCCAAATCAGTCGACCCTAAATCAAAAGTAAGTCAGATTTTTTTAATATCTCAAACATTAAATCTAAGTTTAACCAAAGTTCTTTCCAGCACCCAACCGGATTCCTTTCGCAACTTGGTGCTGCATCTGCAGCACGCTCAGGGAACTCATCAACCGATCCACTTGACATCCGGCTTAGCGGTACTCTTGTCTTGGATGGATCCGATCCTATCGACGCCCTTGAATGGTGGCTTCAACAAAAGCGGGGAGGAAACACTTATGGAGGGCTTTTGACTATGGCACTGGATGTATTGAGTTGTCCAGGTATGATTCATTGGTTTATTTTTATTTAAGTCTTTTGATTTAATTTCTAATTTACAAACGATTGGAAAATTCTTTTAAATTTCCAGCTACATCGGTTGACGTGGAGCGCGCGTTCAGTTTTGGAAGAGATTATGTCACACTCAAGAGACACAGGCTTAGTGCGGTATCTGTGAGTAGGGGAATGGCGGTAGCATTTTATTCAAAGAACAATAAGATCAAGGATGGGGATCTGAATAAGTGGAATGAAGGGCTCCTAGAGGAAAAGAAGAGGAAGATGAAGGAGAAGCAGAGGGGAAGAGATAAGTAATTTTAGGGGATATACTCCCATTAAGTAGTACAATGGAATGAAATAAAGCATTGAGATTTTTTCTTGAAAAGGTACCGCCGGTACCCGCCAAAAACACCTGGGTACCCGCTGTTGCGTGTCCGTGTACGGGTACGGGTATTAAATATCTGCTAATAATGGAGCAGGTACCTGTACCCGTCGCGGGTACCCGGGTCCAAAATGCCATCTTTAGTGCAAACCCCATTTTTACCCATCTTGTATATCAGGCTCAGCTCACAGATTACATAGCTCACCCAGCTCTACCTGGCTTTTGGGTCCAAATGGAAGTGATGGAACATTTTCCCTCCATTCAGAACCAAAGAATGCAGTAGCTAATGAAAAAATTCACATACATACTTAACCAATATAAAGCATCAACTAAAGAAAGATAAAAAAAAGTTCTTTTCTGACCCTATTGGCAATGGAGCCCACAAAACCTGGTTTTCACCTAATTTCTCCTCAGTCACATGTCTTCAAGTAGTACAATCTTCCTGAGAAACCATACACATTCAATAAGCAACAGCATTGGGGCAACGCTTCCACAGATACGGTATCTGCCCGTATCTGCCATGTATCACTATGTATCTGAGCCCCAATAAAAAAAAACTATCTGACCAATCTGCTTTTATTTGCAAGGAGATTCAACAAATTTGGTTTTTGGCCATGCAGCTTTGCAGAATTCTCCATGATACACACAGTGTATTGTATCTGTGGCAGCGTTGATTGGGGCCTGGGGCTCCCTGATTTCTTGCAAGATATCCCTCATTAAAAAGTAGGAAAGGGATTAGCTACTTTTCTGGCATGCTCTTAGTTTTACCCTTGATTTTATTCATCTCTCCTTTCTTCCTTTGTCTCCAATTTCCTTCAATTCAATCCATTCTGAATTCAATTTCTCAGTCCTCTAATGGTTTTCAGTATTCCACATTTCTGGGCAGTTACATTTTTTTCATTTCTGAATGGAGACTTTTTAAGATAATGGCAATCCTGTTTGTGAAACTACAGAGAACAATTCAATTGGAGCCTTTTTCAGATGGCAAGGTATCTGACCTTTACCACAGGTATACTTTGTGATTGCAGATCTAACCCTGGGAACAGCACAATTAACACTTTTAAGCAAGCTCAAACCAGGTTGGAATCTGGAATGAGCTAAGCAAGGTACAGATGAAAACATGTCAGCTTTCCAACTGTTGAACCTCACTGTACTCAGGAGTGATTTATAATGACCAATTTGATTGTAGTCAATTTGACACATATTGTCCTTCTTCGCGGTCTCCTTACAAGTTCTGTGTATGTAAGAGTCTTCCTCAAATGCATGTTGTCTACTTCTTTCATTCTCTTTTCATCATTTTCTTTTCTATTATCAATTGATTTCCCCTCAGGCTGACTTTTATTTTAGCAATGGTATCCAAATCCTACAGGTTTTACAGCAGCAGCAGGGTGAATGACTGCTGAAGTAAGCAAAACAATCGTCGGTCGACGACTAAAATGATGGCATGTTGAAGTAAGGTTTGAAATTTCTGGTGAAAGATGAGAGTGTGAGGCGACTGGTGAATTGGTGTGTGCAGAAGATTACAAGAAGCGTTTGACGCTTCGAATTAGGAATAAATGTATGTGTCTGAGTGAAGCAAAGGGCATGGGGAGTTATGTATAAGGAGCTTGAGGGAGAATGCGCAGTCCAGTGCTCCCATTTGAACCTTCCTCGACAAGTACGCCGGAGGGTCGGACAAAGATTTCCTTCTTTAAGATTTCCCTGCGTCTTGTGAGATAGGGAGGACTTAATAATACATCTGAGGTCCCTAGCTGAAGAAAGAAACTACAGACCAGTTATAATAAAAAGACAACAACAGTTCGGAGGTGGTGAAAATTGTACACGAAGGAAGGGGGGATCAAGGGCAGCTTCAAACGACGTCGACCAAGAGAGCCTTTTCGAGGATGACTTTCCCTTCCTTGTACTTCTGATTCTGATCGTAAGCCCGCTCGTACTTCCAGCCCATCGTCGTCCCGCACTTAGCACAGAAGATGTCCCGGACCGTATGCAGCCCCGTCGTCATCGGTCGGTCTTCCGCCTCGCCTAAACTGATGTTCACTGCGTTCGTAAATAGATAGGCCCGGCCGTGTTGGCCGTTGAATTGCTAAACCAATTGATGAATGGCAGTCCAGTCAAGCAAGCTTGGTAATTCACACTACTATCCACTGATTTTTCTCTTCTTTTTCCTCTATTTATTTATTTTGACAGGAAACCATATAAAGCAAGAGTAGGAGATAGTGCTTAAGGGTTTTTGGAAGGCTTGGCGACTTACCCTGGATATCATATTGTCAATCGTCGCCAAATGAGTTCGACAAGTACTGCATCCAAAGATTCGGGAACCAGACAGGAACTCGCGGTGTTTAAGTCCCATCGATATGTGTGACTTGAGGTCGGAAATAACCAAGGGTGCAAGAAGTGAGGGTAGCGCCTGGTAGAGTTGATCGATAAAAGCTAGATCTGTTGTGCTCGTTTGGTTGAATTTCTCTTGAATGGTTTGGGTGGGCTCGAGTATGTTAAGAATGGTTATCTGACTTCCCAAGACTGCCGATGCCCATGTCAGCTGTTATGAGCTCCATGTCGAGCCCCAAAGGGGGGCTCAATTCAATGAAGCTGCGGGCTTCGCATGGATTGTGCAATGGCAAGTGGCACTGGCAAGCCATCACCGGAAGGAAAGGTGCTACAAAATAAAAATTAGTGAGGGGCACCTTCAAAGGTCTTCTAATTTTTTGGATCACCCCTGCTCATTGACAACATTATAACCGGTTGTTTTCAGTCGACCATTGTTTTTGAATTTTTTATTGTTTCCTCCCAGTCCACATCAATGCTGATCAGTCAGCTGTTTTGAGTGGAACCTTGCACTCTTTACACTCAGGACAACGACTCTCTTGACTAAAGACCATTATAACAAAAATAAATTAAGCAAGTGGGTTTATATTAATCAGATGAGAATGATCAAGTCGTTATTCTCAAGATATTCGGAAGGTTCACGCTTAGCTACTTCTTCATTACTCATCTCTGCTCTGGTTAGATCTTAAAATCTTTGTATGTATTCTTTTCTTAACCCTTATTTCATATAGCCTTCTAGGTAAAGGATTTATTCAAAACTTCTTCACTATCATTGTCCCTGTTCTATCATATATTTGCTCACAAGAAATAAACATTTCAGCTGCGTGAATTGTTTTATTTTTTCGATGTAGTACTAAAGGATGACACATGTGGAATCATGATAGCGGGTGAAATGTTGCGGTTGTGGATGTTTTCCAATCGTTTTTCAAGCTGGGTTGAATAGGAAAAACAAGAAAACTACACAAAAAGAATTTGTGATTGGCATTTTGATTCTGTAACCGCTTCTTTCTTGGGGTGGTGATAAAATTGGTGGGCACGAAATCTGGGACAGTGAAGAATTTTTTTTGTGGAAGGATAGAAAACTTCAGTAACAATAGAGAGAGAAGAAACAGAATGGAAAAAGAAAGAGAAATGAGAAGATGAATCAAGAAAAAATGAAGGATTGTACCGGGGATAGTGAAAGGTGCTTTATACTACAGGACTTGCGAGATGTAAGTGAAATGAGAGATGGCAGGTGAGAAGCACACACAGAATGGAGATGGAATGACAACCTCAATGGGCGGCAACATCGCAACCAATGTCAGGCAATATAGTGCTTTTCTGGATTTTGGAGATATCAATGTCAAAAAGAAAATCAGCGGGAGTCGAGCAAAATGGGCCTGAGGATTTCCAACTCACATTTATGACAACATTCGGGGGACAGCAATAAATAGTTGTGTATTCGTCCTTAAGGCACTCATATATGCGACGTTTTGTGTCAACTGCTCTTGCAGGCTTTGCTGTTTTTTTGCAAGAGTATCAAACCAATTTCGTTAAGTAATGTCACAACTGAAAGTGTGTTTTGATCGGTAAACTCCAGAATCCAGGTGCAAGATGCTAAACTACACTCACAAATCAGTGTTAATGATGACTTGGAGGGGTCTTCTTGAACCCTGCATGCCCCTTTGGATTTTTCGGGACCACAATCAAATCGTAGAAATTGGTTTTCTTGTGCGCTTAAAACCCCGCAAGCGAAGGCTAACATGATCGTTAATTTTGCAAAGTGCATGACTGCGACTGGATTAGGAATCTGAGAGGATCTGCAAAGCAACCCTGGCGGTAAGTCACGAGAGAAGCAGATAATCATTACCAGTTTGCATACGTTAGAGAGCTGTGTTTTACCTGTTAACACTTGAATAAGATGGTCTATCTATGTCTTTGGGGTTGGAATGCCAGGTCAGAGTAGCAGGTTGGTGGGTTTGGGACGCAGGAGATGGAGGCCATCTCCGGGAAAATCGCCGTGCTTTATAGAAATCAGCGTTGCCAGATGTTGCCCAATTTTTCATTTGCACCAACAAACAACGACAAATAAAGAACCTATGTGTACATAGATGGCTTCACCGCATCTCATTGCGCGTCCAGGTGGCGTGCATGGAGACTTATATGTATTGACTAAATATTTACACTGTGGGGCAAGTCGCCCCGCTGTTGTGGCCAAAAAATTTCAACTTCATACCTATTCATTACAAAAAACCGGAAGGACCTGGAAGGACCGTAAGGGGCGGTATCAAAGTTGAACGACGAGTGTTGCCCACATAAGATACATGCCGTTGTCACAGCAACGATGGGAAGATACTTTACCCATTTGGTTAACACTGCCTGTAATGAACAGTATTAACCCGTACACCTGATGTGATGATCAGAAAGATATTGGTCAAGTATTGGTTAAGTTACTGGTAAATGGTGACCAGATGATTAATATCTTTTCATTATCATGTTTTCTTAGTCTATTTTGAAATGCTTTTGCCGTGTCTTTACAAAATAAAAAGAAAAAATTTCATTGGTAAAACTTCTATCCTTTCAAGTACCACTTTCAAGAGTTTATCTTTAGTTAAAGGTAAAATAACCTTATAGCTCTTGAGTAGACAATATTTCCTCTTGAATATTTTCAGCAGAGTTGATTTTCCAAAAAAGAAATGATGTTGCTAGGAGTGATTGACATCAATCCATTTTTTGGTTATAGCCCAGGTTTTTTCTTGTCTTGTGAATCGAGTTCTCCTTGTTATCCCTCCACTATTCTTTAGATTCTGTGAGTTTATAATTATTTTGTTTTTTGACGCAGTACCTTGTTCTGTTTTTACTTGGTTCTTCAAATTTTCACATTTTTCAGAAGTAAATCAATCTGAAATGTGATTTATTGCGCTGGAATACATCTAAGGTAAGATCCTCATTACCCTGTTGGATAAGATAATTGGTGAGTTGCTCTTTCATGATAGACTGGTTGGAAGGATTAGTGCTTGAAAGCAAGATAAAATCTGAACCACCCCTTAGTAAGGTTAAATAAAAGTACATGATTTTTGGGATTTTTCTCTCAAGAGGGGAGTGATAATCACACTCCCTCCCCCTTTGCGCACGCACTCCAACACACCAATTTTGATTGGTGTGTGGTGCTGCATGTAGCGCTGGATCCCGCGGGGTACCCAGCACCTCTCAGGCTGCCCGGCGTCCCGACCCGCGGGTATACCCTTCAGCCGGGAAGGCAAAACACAGTGCCTGAGCTCTTCCCTTCGGGAATCGGGAATGGTACACGGGTATTTATTTTCCGCAGGAATGTTTTCCGCACGGGTATACCCGGCCTTATTTTGTCCCTCTTCAGGCACAGACCTTCGAACGAAGTCCTAGTAGAACACTTAACCCGGCAGCAAGTCAAAAGAAAGCCAACATGAAGGCACCTAGCTCAAAGGCAAAGACCAAACCTGCCAAGACTCAAAAGCTTACAGCAATCAAGGAAGATATTTTTGGAGAGTCCATGGTTCCAAACAACCTGAGTGCTGAGATCAACCAGTACATTGCTGAAGTTAACGAACAAGCAAGCTGCGACATTCTTGCATACTGGTCTCGAAACAAGAAGGTCTATCCATTGTTATTGTTGATGGCCAGCTGTTTCCTTGGCATCCCTGCAACGAGTGCGCCTTCCAAACGAGTCTTCTCAAGATCAAAGACAATCATTGGATCACGGCGTCACAGCCTCAAAAGCTCATTGATTGAGTACCTTCCTTGTGTCAAAGAATGGTACCAGAAATTTGACGAGATGATTGATACCTCTACTTTGAGCAGCAATCAAGTCAATGACAATGCTCACAGCAGCAACAACGAAGACAACCAAGATGATGACAACGAAAAGGATGACAACAATGACACTGAAGACAATGATGATTAAGACTTGTGTTTTTCCATTTCATTTCTTGTTCTTGTTCTAGTTGTTTATGGCTGTAATACAAACGTTCAAAATGATTCAACAGCTGCCAATGGTCATCACCCCCCCCTTTCCCTTGCCCCAAATTCCCGGGATTCCCGCTGGGATCTCTGAGCCGGCCCGGCGACCGTACCCTGGGATACCCGTCGGTGCTCGGGCTCCTGACAAGCCATCCCGGAGCCCAATACCGTCGGTGCCCCCTTTGGGTATACCCTGAGACCCCGGGAACGGGATCCAGCGCTAGCTGCATGCCAACCAGCGACCTAAACCCATATGAATATGGGTTTAGGTCAGGCCTTCTCCAATAGGACCCTGGCCTGGGTCCTATGGGATAGCCCTATTGTATAGAGCAGATGATTTTGGGTTTGAGGGATATCAAGCAGTGTCATTTTTTCAGTGCCCCATCTACACAACTGATGGCTTGAAAACGGCCGATCTCAGAAGTCTGGAGATCAGAGGATCAAACAAGTGATGGTATCTTGCGACTGACCGGTGCTATTCCCGACGGCTTTCTTCTTGGCCCACGAGGCCGAGGTGGAAAATATTGAGCGGCCGGCAAAGGAGATCAGTGACGATGAGCGGGCACAGCCAATCCAAAGGCAGGCACAGGGAAGAAGATCCACACAAACAGGCCGGACTAGCCTACTCATCAATCGAGATAACATTGCGAATGGAGAGGTTGATTGTTGAGTGGTGGCCGTGCATTTTTTTTTCTTCCCGCAAATTGAGTCGGACTCTGGAGGCCGGGTATTTTCAAAGAATCAAAGTGGGTTTTCCCGCTGTCTCACTGCTTTCAGTGGACAAGAAAAACTGCCAATAACCAACTAAATACTCAACTTCCACCTCAGCCGCTTTCAAGACCAGCTCGTCGGGAGGAACCCCTCCCAACAAGTTGGTATACAGACCAGCTTGTCAGAAGAGATTCCTTCCGACGAGCTGGCTTGAAAACCGGCTTGCCGGGAGGAGCCCCTCCCGAAGAGCTGGGATTGATCCGGTTGAATTTTTTTCAACAGCCTCAAGCAGCTATCCCATTTTTTTTTGTGCTTGATGATTTGACATTGCGCACAATAGTAAATACCCTAATGTAAATATTACATGTGATGATGTTTTGAAAAAATTACATGATTGATTTTTTTTTTAAATATTTATAACTATGAATGAGGAAACGAGAAAAATCTGAGTAAAAAAAGAAGAAAAAAGGAGAAAAAAGGAGAAAAAAAGCGCCCAAAAAAAGAAATAACTTGAAAATCAATCTCTTCAAATCAAGTCTAAACCTTTTGCAAAAACCAAGCCCAGCCAACTTTTGTCACGACTGCGGCCCAGACAGCGTGTTATGTGGTTGCTCAAGCCACATACCCTAGGATTAAAGCGGGCAGAAAGTCAACCAAACCCAATCATCACTAGAGTCCAGCTCAATTGACCCACCAAATATCCGAGTATAATAGAAACCAAAGTAAGTGAGAAAAATTCAAAGAATTTGATAGAAAAAATAAAGAGAAAAAAGGAAGAAAGAAAAAAATATAAACTAATGATAATAATTTCTTTTTAATCCTCATTGATGTAGGTTGCAATATTCTTGAAACACTTGGTATCAAGAATGAAGGTTGAGAGTAATTTGAAAACCAACGGATTATTGAGTAAGTCCTTGAGTGAATTCAGATTAATTTTGATTTTGTTTGAAATTAACAACAATCTGAACTTTCTTCTTTGATTGTGGAATTTGTCGCAGTGGATGAGAAAGTGTTTGACGGTCTTAGGCGAATTACAGAGTTGACAATCCGGAAAGTGGATTTTGTTGATGCGGAAAAGAAAATTGTTAAGGGGTGAATGACCAACTCGAAGTTGATAGATGATCAAACTCAAACCCCTCTTGAGACAATTCAAGGAATTGAAAATCTTCATTGGTGAGTTTGATAAAGAAATATTGTTTTGTATGATTGATTTCTTCTTTTTGTTGAAATTGAATTTGGATCTGACAACTTGTTGAATATTTGAAAGAGTTCTAGTTTGACAATCAAGATTGAAGAGTTGATTTCCTTCTGTCGAATCTTTGGCAAGCTGATCCACCTTCTCATTTTCCGGGATACCAACATGGGCAGGACACCAAAAAAGTGAAATTGAGGAATGAAGAGTTGATTTAAGCAAAACTAATTTGTCGAAAATCTGAATGAAGGCAGATTGATTAGATTTGGGAAGAGGCAGCTTGGTGATAACTTGCAAGGCTGCTTGATTATCTGAAAAAATATTGATACAGTTTGAAGGCGGTAAGTTGTTGACATTGAACTGATTACTGATGATATCGAGACCAATATTGATAGCTTGAACCTCTGCTTCAACAGCCAAAGCCTTATCTGCATCATTGATTCTACAGGCAAATGAGAGTGAATTATTAAGCAAAGCCGCCGAACCGGTCCCTTTGTTGGGAATACTGGAGCCATCTGTGAAAAGAATAAGTTCATTATTGGACTTTTTAAGGGAAATCTGGTTAGTGACAATCTCTTTTGCTTTATCTTTTTTAATATCAATGTTATTAACATCAATATAAAAATTTGACCAAGGTTGAATGACATGATGTTGAATTGTCTCGAGGGATTGTAGGTTGTAATCCAGAAAAAGATGATGATCCAGCACATTATGGATTGAAAATTGATGACTAGAGGGTTGATTATTCAGCTCTAAATTGATGAGCTGTTTGATCGGATGGTTGTCAGGCGCTGTAATTTTATTAACAAAATACAAATGGTTTTTTTCTTTTCAAAACATCAAAAAAAGGGATAAGAGGTGAATCTTTGTCAAGAAAATTGCAAGGGGTAGTCCTGAAAACCCCCAAAATGATTCAAATTGCTTGATTATTGATTTTACTGATCAAATTTTTCACCGCGGCTTCATTTCTTTTGGAAGCCCAGATACTACTACCATACAGGATCCTTGATCAAATAACACTAATGATAAGATTTCTGGATTGTTGTAAGCCTAGACCAAACAAACATGGAGAAATCCAATTGAGTTGAGTGACTGTGTTGACACTTCATTTTTTGACTTTGTCAAGATGAAGTTTAAAAGAGAGTCGGGGATCCAAAATGATGCCTAAATACTTGACTGATTCTGATTTCTCTATACTGATGTCACCCAATTGAAAAGGACGGACATCAATTGATTGGTAAGTAAAAATCATAAAATTAGCTTTTCTTTTGTCAAATATTGTGTTATTCTTTTTTCCCCAAGCAAGTGAGCAAGCACCCTCTTCTTCAAGAAGAGAAATGGCACTTCTCGGTCCTTCTTGTGAGCAACAAAGTGAGTAACATCATCCATAAAACCTTAAAGAAGAACTTTATTTTGGATT